ACAAAACAATATCAGCACTCAATGATCTCGTAACTTGTGTAAACACGCGGATACTTGTCATCACTGAAAGCTGGACCTCTTAGTCTATCCAAGACCCGGAGGTTTCTGTTGATAGTCTTATGTTTCCTTGAAAGATTTCGTAGATAATCGAGGAGAGGACGATTAGTAAGTGTAAACTCAAGTACCCACTGCCTACTCGAACTCATAGATCTTGTAGAGCCTGAAAGCCAGTTAGACAATGCTTCACGTCCGTATTCACCTATCGAGCCCCTGTTCAGCGGAGATCGATGATGGTAAGCTTTTGTTGCTGAACTATAGGAATCTGGTGAGGTCGGCGCCTCCCAGTTAGCCTGCTTGCAGGCCGTCGTGCGTATCTAAAAGTATCGGATGTTAGAGAGGCATTCATCGAAGGTCTGCTGCTGAGAAAGCCAACGCTCGTACCTGACAGACAAACTGTTGCGAACAGTGTCACATTTCAATTGAGCGATCACATCGATGGACGCGGATTAGCCTATCGGAATCACTTAATCCCTCCGAGCAAAGTCGACCATTTAGACGTATCCTTTGCCTTGAGTGCTAGCCTAGTAGATACAGCCTAGCACTTGGACTTGTGTAACTGCTTGAATTCGCACTCAGACTCTGGTAGCTAGGATTTCCGGCGCGCGATAGTTCTCTTGACCCAGACGTAAATCCGAATGTTGAAACTGAATGGATTGTCTTCAGGAGTGAAAGCATCCGGCGGCAAATTGTCGGCCCCACTGGTATATTTTTCGGAGTCGCGGGGAAGATCCTCTTGCGGGCATTGTTTCTACCCAAGAGAACAAGACTTTTGAGTCCTAGTCAGCGTGACTTCTTCAACAAACCCTCTGATTACTGTAAGACCCCTTGACAGATTGGTCAGCACGATGTCGAGGTTTTCGTCCTTGAACGCTGTAAGGCCTTTAACGTTGTCGGTCATAGCCCTAGGCTTATGTGATACGGGTTTTCCATGCAAACCACTTCAGGCAACTACGCTAGGCTTCTTGCTGAATCTACCTCCATTACTGTTCATCAAGGTACCCGGCTGATGTACCGAATGCGGATGTACATACTGTCCCCTACTCATGGAGCCGTCTGCCGAAGGTGTTTGGAATCCGTTAGCATATTTCACAGACTTCTTCCGAACAGCTTCAAGGAATTTCGGATACAAACAATAGGTGAAGACGGATTACACCTGGAAGACGAGCTACTCGTATACAAGTTGTGGATAGTGTAACGGCCTCCATTGAAGGTTAGTTTCTAAACAAGCAGGCTGTCAGGTCAAGCGAATAAGTAGTCGTGGATCGGTAGGGACAATGTTACCAGGGCGCGGACGACTGAGCTCTGGCACGTCGACTGTCTTTTAAAATTCCACAAAGTCCGATGATGGCACCGTGACATGGCGACTGAATCGTTTGCTTGCTGCCACTGCTTGTGATTGGGTTCTTGAGCCAAACAGCTGAAGGAGATAACCTCCAACAAACAATCCGAGCGGCTGTTGGGATTCCGCGTATACTTAATTCCCGAAAAATCTCGCGGTATTAAGATCCACGCAACGTCGTCTGCGGGGACTGACGCGCTTCGAAACCCTGGTTTAGTGGTGTGTGCAAATGCTATGGGGACTGAACTACTCATTCTGATACGGGCTTTGGTATTGAATGCTGGCATGTCAGATCGTTCCTGGACCCTGGTACTCAAAGTCTGACGACGCACAGTTTTCATCAGTATAATATGAATGTTTGTAGCCGGTCTGAAGCGCGATAAAGGGACTTTTTACTCGCATCTGCAATGGTTAAAATACTCCCTCACCGTCATTTACTGATCGTTGTCGGGAGCTGGAATGACCAGACTGCACTTGGTAACTCTCCAAAGAATCATCTTATTAGCCGCTTTGGGCTTGGCTCTCGATGCGAAAATGCTGAGAGATAGCTAACTTTTCTGAATTTTCCAACTTTTCACCAACATGTGCCTCCAGCAGTGCCACAAATATCTACTGATCTGGTATTCAAGGGACGACGGTACGGCCAGTCAGATTGACTAAATTCTAGGTTGTTCAAAGTTCTGCAACTGAGTTTACAATAGCAGATCGATGCCTGACGACGGGACTAGTAACGCCAATGGGTCGGACCACGCTTTCGTTCGCACACGCCTCATCTGAACTCAGAATGCTACGTGCAAGGCTCCTTAGTGTCGCCAAATTTCGACAACGCAACACCGCTGAGGCCCTGAGCACAGAAATCCAATCCCATTTTATAACCCGAGCTGACAGGTAAGGCAGTTACCATTGGTCATCACTGAAGTCAGCAATCTTTGAGTTAGCTTACAAGTTCCTGTACTCACCCAGTGACCTCGCATGAACTGGATCAGCGGAAGGAGCTTGCAGTTGTCTTCTCAGACGGCTCGAGCCGGGTCTATCAACTCCAGAAATGGCAGCAAAGTCGGCTAAGGATGACCGACAGAAATATTGGGCCAAGACAGCAACCTCTATCGTGCAGGCCTCAAACGCTGTTTTCATTCGAAAACTCGACCAAATTATCTACCAAGTTGTTTTTAAGCCCCCCTGCACCGAGTGACTGTTCGTGCTATGAATGGCGGCTTTATTGTTGAGAAATTGGCCAAAGTCGGTCACTGGCGTTAGCACTTCGAGCACCTTAACTTTGATGAGTAACTCATCACCTCCTCGCTCTCCTCTGCAGCGCAGTTTTATCCCGCTAGTCTGTTTAGTGTTGTACGATCCCCTTTCAGACACAGAAGTTGTCGATGCAGTACAGAGGCTGCACAACCACAAGGCGCCTGAAGAGGACGGTATTCCCGCTGAAATTTACAAATCATGTGTCGAATCTCGTGCGCCTTGAGCCCCATGAGGTGATTGGGCAAGCGTGAAGAGATGAGATGGTTCCTAATGACTGCAGTTCGTACCTCCTTGCGCCCGTCTTCAGAAGGGGAGATACAACACAGTGCGAGAACTGCCGCGGCATAGACGTTGTTGTGGTCTTCACTGTTGTCCTCAGACTTTAAGACGAGAACCAGCCAAGCCGGATTTCAGCTGAGTGTGGATGCGCAGATCAGATATTCACACTTGAGCGCATCCCAGGATTCCGCCATGGCTACCGGCGGCCGACGGCCGTCTGCCCTGTCGACTTCGCTGCTGCGTTTGATTTCATCCATCGTGATTACTTATGGTGGATAATTTAACTAGATGGTTTGCCGGCCAAAATTATCATCATGATCAAGGTGTGCTATCGCCCTACCACTGCGCAAGTTCTGATCCATAACAATCTATCTCACCCTCTCGATATCCGATCTTGTGTTAGACAAGGTTGCATCCTGTCACCCATTCTGTTCAAGAACGCCATTGACTGGACTTCCTGAAGGACCCTCTACGGTTTTGACCATGTTGACTTTGCACTCCGACGCAAGCTGACTGATTTTGACTGCGATGACGATGACCCCTCCCTGGACTTGAACTTTGGTGATCCACAGTCTGCGCTATCGGGGGTGAATGTAGTCATGAAATCCGTCGCTGGGAAAAACCAAGTATGTTCAAACTACATCTCCGACTAGGAGAAGGCACATCGCGAGATTAATGACTGCTAACTCGGAGATATAGACACCTCCAAATACCACAGGGCGAGGCTGCTGCCCAATGAGTAGAGTAATAACGACTTTGTCCCCTGAATCTATGCTGCCTCTGGACTCTACGTGACGTCTCCATCTGCACAAAAATCCGCGTGCACCGTCCATCCGTCCCGTCAGTCCTTCTCTTTGCCTGAATGCTGGGCTGTGTGCATGGGGGATGTGCTCGGAGAAGAGGTATTCGACCACCACTGCCTGAGGATCATGAAATGTCCGTTTATTGATGCGCCTTATCAGGTATACAACGTGGTGTATGTGTATTGCAACATTTTATGAGCTTTATACGGGACAGCTTGTAGCTTGAAGACCCTAAAAGCCTTTTCTACGACCCTTGAGTAATAAGCGCCTCTAGGCGGTCTCTATGCACTCATTTGTGTGAGCGATACTGCAGCCCTACCGCTTTCATTCCCCGATATTTCCATCTATCAGCTTGCGTTTCCGAAGACCCTAAAGAAAGCATGCGCCGTATGACTTCATCTGCAATTTCCCTCTGCAGTTCAATCATTCTCCTGGACTTTAGCGACGTAAACGATCCGCGCAAAGTGGAGAATCAGTGGCGGAGGACAAGTGTAAGACCACCAAAACACCCGTGAACGCACCAGTCAGCCCACAGCTAGACCAACAGATTGAGCCCGCTTTTCTGGGACTTCCGTTCGTCGGTCTTCTTCGATCATTCGTCGCGTTTGCATTCTATTTCCCTCATAACTTTGCAGAAAGGATGCGGCCGAGTGAGCGAGCAATTTTCAAGTGTCTTACTTTGGACTCATCTCGGAGCCTCTTCTCTGATCATCTTTGCGTTTGCAGCCTATGTATGGTCACGTTTTTTAAATAACTACATGCGTAAGCCGTGTTGTAAACGAGCGGCTTTCTACGCAAGCACTCGCTAAAAGCCCAGATAAGTGTCCTGCAGATGATTTTGATCCCAACATTTACGGCGCCTGGAGGAGAGCTGTGGGCTGATCTTAAACAGTCTAGCCGCGCGTAATTTACCATGTGCCATGCGTGTATTACTTTCCGAAAGTATTGCCTTACTGTCCATGTGCAGCATGCCGGATTCCACTTTCTGTACCTAACGCCACCTCTGGGTAAATTGTTTGAACCACCCTACCAACGTCTTTTTATGTCATTAATTTAATTACGTGTTCGAGGGTTTCTGCATTTCTGATCGTCATGCATTTTGATTGTCAGAATCTATTTTTAATAAATCATTCCTCTCTTCTTTTCCGCTTTTGTTTGCATCAGTCGTGGTCCGTTTGAGCCCAATTCCAAGTAATATATTTCGACAGTATTCCAGAGAGTCGACGACGGGGAAGGAACTGTGGAATCTTTAACTCGCAGCATCCGCCATGAAGCGCCTGGTTGATTCGACGAAATATTTGTTGTTCGACAAATCGGCCATCAGTATTGTGAGTGGTCTTCTGTTCCTTGTCGAAATCGCTCTCGGACTATATGTCATACACAATGTCGCCTGTTTGTTTTTCGCATTTACCGACTCATGATCCAACCCATCTAGATACGGAGATTGACTGGGTGGCTTATATGCAACAGGTACAGATATTTCTCAATGGCACTCTCGACTATGACAAGTTGATTGGCCAGACGGGCCCCTGTGTGTAAGCAATTCTTCTATCCCATTAATGTCGGTTCGGGCTTTTAGATACCCGGCAGGCCATGTGTACGTCTATACCATGCTTTATTATGTGTCTGGGGGCGGCACGAATATTCACACCGTCCAGCTGGTGTTTCTGGGACTCTACTTACTCTCCATTGGACTCATATTCAATATTTACCGATCCGTTTTAAAGGTGCTCTCCTTGTTTAGTTTCTTCATGTGTGTGTGTGCCTTTAGGTCCCGCCTTTTGTTCTGTTCTTCATGTGTCTGGCCTCTTACCGGGTACACTCAATCTATCTTTTACGGCTGTTCAACGACCCTGTGGCAATGTTCTTCTTCTATGCTTCGATCAATTTTTGTTTATACTCTCGATTTTCGCTGGCATCCATATTTTTCAGGTCAGCGCTCTTGCCATCTAATGCTGTCTCTGCTATCATCTGTGACGTTTTTAAGAAGCGACTACGTCTCACTGTAATTCGTGAGGTGCATTTGAAGATTTTCGTTAGCACATATACAGCTTGATGCGGTTGCGCTAGCTTCCCATTGGATACTTTTCTGTTGCTGAGTATTGTACCTACTTGCATTCTTGGCACGCGTTGACCAATGGTTTTTAAATGGCCATTACGTGAGATCTTAGAGCCCCTAAAACATTTTTTGAACCTTATGACAGCGGTTCAAGAGCAAAAATAATGAAACCCTAAGACACCCGAGTACATCTCTATTCAGGCACACGTTTGTTAATCTTTTTAGGGTTAAAATTATTCCAAACTCATTAATAGTGGTTTCTGAAGCACTTGGCATTCACCCCCCCCCCCCCTAATTTTTGCCATATAAGGCTTTTGGTTGGTTTGCGTCTGGGGCTAGGGCTGGTCTGCATTGTCGGCTCATGTCGTCGAAGCTATTTGTCTGTGATTTGGCTTCGAGTAGAGGCTGAACAAGGCGATTTTCCCCAAATGCACATTTTTTGTCGACAAATTCTCCAAAGTATGGTTACCCGACTGTCACAGTAACTAAAAGCACGCACTACCTACAGTAGATGTATTATCTCATGAAATGATGACCAAAATTCTGAAATGTCTTCTTAGTCGAAAGGATTTCTTAAGTAGGGTTGTCGTGCAGTATAATCCCAAGATATTTCAGCTACACCAACTTTTGGACGAGCTTCTCTCCGGACGCCTGCAAAAACTGCACTCTGTTGAAAAATAGCTACTTAAGTAGTGCGCTTTTGTCCATGGGATTTCGATACTCATTTGCTGACAAACTATATCCTGCTCAAATTCCATACTTGAGGAAAAAGTATCTTTCGGTCCCGAGAAGTTTCTAATTATGCGATTTTTAAGACTGCCTAACGTCTATTCATGCGGCATTACACAGCATGTCTGTTAATGCTGCTTATAAAGTATGCAACACGGTTCACATCTATTACAAAATTATATGGGCCGAATATGACATCTTAGTAGTGTATAGAAATGTGTGATTATGCCGACACGGAAAATACAGTTTGTAATTTGGAAACTCTGAGCGCAAATGTAACGACTGAACGAGTTCAACATCATTGGGGGAATTGAAAGTTCTCTTAAAAAGCCGAAGATACTCCTTCTTCAGGTATAAAATTCAACGAAGACGTAGTTTGCCACCAAATTAGTCCAAGAAGGTATATTTTTGTGCTCTTTCCATAGAATGTATTTGGACTTGCAGGGGCGTCGAACACCGATGGAAGAAGTCGTACTACTTAAGTAGCCATTTCCACAGAATGAAGCTTTTGCAGCCTGCTGGAAAGAAGCTTGTTAAAAAGCCGGCACCCTAACATGACTGGATTATCCTGAGATTATACTGCATGACAACCCTGCTTCTCGAATCGACAGCACATTTCAGCATTTCGGTTAACATTTCATGAGATAGCACAGTTACTGTAAGTGTCGCTTTCTGTGGACGGCCTGTGCATAGACGTTTCGGCATACCGACGTAAAACCACGGTTATCGAGCATGGAATATCATAAGCCTCTGTTTCTTAAAATTGGCATTGCAACTACGACCGTATTTGCCACAATTGGGGTTAAAAATCGAGCGTGACCTAATGCGTGGCAGATCCTATTGGCATACGTTTTAGGAAATGCTTTGTCTTAAGTGGATAACTTGGCATGATCCCTGATTTTAGTAGGTGTCGATTGCCTTTGCTGCAGACAATGGAATCACAAAACTCACATCGCCAAAAAGCCAACACCCTGACTTTAGCGAATATAAGTTATTTTCACAACCAGTGAACAGCTATCAGTAGTCCAGACGTTTAGCCCGCTTTACGCAGATTCGAGATGTTGATGGCCCTCTCCGTCTAGGACATGAGTCTTCTGACTGTCTGAGTCAAGTAGTCCGCCAGTTCTCATCGGGTGGGATTTTTACTCATTTCGGGCCTACCCAGAGCCTCAAACCACCCCACCCCCTCCCCCCATCAGTTCACGGGTTTTACTGTCATCTACAGGCATTTAAGGTCGGTGTGTATTTGGTCTAAACAAAAGTTTTGATCCCCAAGCAGAGACAGTAGTGTGATTTTCGTGGCTCTGCTCATATGCTTAGAACATCAACTCGGTAGTTCACGCAGTGCCCTACTGGTTTTTCAGTAAATAAATCCGTAACTCATTTTGACCCACCTGTGAAAAACTTGTCGCCTCGGTGGAATTCGAACCCACGATAACAGGGGCAGGCTTTAGTGCAGCCAACCCCCTAGCCACCTGAGTCTCCTAAAACTGCCGTAGCCTTCCAAAGTAGAATGTTTGTCGAGGCCAACTATGTGTTTTATTACTTTCTCATCAGTGCTACAAAGTCCTTTACATTTCTTATAAATGCTTTACAAGAATTTTATACAGTAAGACCATCCTTGTCACTTCTTAAAGAAGTTGCTGTTTGCATTGTAGCACTTTTTCAAAAAGCTATGCGCTGAGGTACTTCGCTATACTAGTGTCTAACTGCGTTACCTAAGTACCTTTCGGCTCCTTGCTACAGCGTTCTTTCAAAGTGCAGCACACCCCTCTTGCAATCCGGAATAATTTGAATTTCATTGTATCAAACATTTAGAACAGCTGGTGGTACTACTAGGCATGCGAACATCCGGAACTTTTTAACGCTCTTTACGAGATCCTAAACATTAATTTTCATAGAGGTGTGTTTCCCTGCAGCACGACCCCAAGAAACCAGTCTTTTATGCATTAAGCTCCCCCAATAGGCGGGGGGGGGGGGTTAGCATGAGTCAATGTGTGACTGTCCCCTACAGGTCAACACTTCGACACTACGGCCTCGCCGACCAGACGCTTCCATGACATCTTTAGCACATTTGCTATGTTACTGCCCATTTTTCACTACTGTTATAGAAGATCATTCAAGGCCTAGTGTCCCTGCTGTGTAGGATATTTTTATTTTTTCCTTCTTATTGTGCTCCCACCTTTTTTAGCCTGGCGGTCTCCGTAAAGATGAACATTCTCCTCTCTGCCCCAGCATTCCTTTTTGTACTGCTTCTACATCGAGGACTGTACGAGACGTTGGGACATCTGGCTGAATGCGGAATCGTCCAGGTGTGCCACTGTTTTGCGGATCGAAGTGCGATTGTTAAATCCTCCCCCCCCCCCTTAATGGCAGTCACTCTTTACGAGTTTGCGAGAGTAAGGAGGTGGAGTTTTCAAGGAAACCCTCCTATGCAATCTGGGGAGTGGAAGTTTTTCTCAGGACTAACAACTTCTTATCATGATGTTGCCTTGCCGAATAGTGGTGTAGTAGCTGTCACGAACGTTTTTTGACCAAGTATAAAGTAGTTTCGAAAGCGAGCCATCGACTAAATTTTCCTGATGAGGGCTGACTTCCAGTCCCATGTCCTTTTTCAGTAAACTGTTCGAGTTGAAAGGCACTGCCTTTCGCCTCGTAATTCTGCATAGTCAGGTATCTGCTTTGTCTTCGAGCAACTGGGCGCTGTGTCAAGTTATTCGTTGACAGAACCCATGTATTTCCGTGTTCTCACCGTGTTGAAACCATCCACTTTTGTGGAGGCACTAACTTTATCCCCATTACGCTCTATCCAGCTTCTCCTGGGTTCAATCTTCCTCTTCCGCAACACAGAGGCCTATCTAGGGGCCGCTTTCGAATTCAGCCGCCAGTTCATGTACAAATGGACGGTAAACTGGAAAATCCTACCTGAAAGCGTCTTCCTGGACCGACGTTTCCATGTCACCTTGCTTGCCATCCACATTCTCCTTCTCGTCTTCTTCCTTGCTCGTTTTATCAGGTTTGTTTTTTTCCTGCCTCGTGTCATTTGTCGAAGATGGTCTTTACGCTTTCCACACTCATAAATGGGTGAACAATCTGCGCAATCTCTTGTTCACCCAGAAGTGGCTTGCATACCAGCCCGCGGCTTGCAGGCAGAGCTTGAGACTTGATAACTGTCAAACTTTACTTACAAGTTGGCACGCACGATCCACCGACTTGGTCTCCTACCCCTAAATCATCTTCATGCTTTAATAGTGAACTTGATTTATCAGTTATACGGAATAGTCACATCGAGTGATCGGTAGTTACGCCTAATACCAACCCACACGAGGTGATCATAACACTCTAACCCCTCCCATCGCCTCGCTTTCATCTGTAACTCCCAAGGGGCTACACCACAGCGACCGCAGCCGTCGCGTCCACTCCTAAGTCGCTTCGACTGGGAAGCGAAAAGGAGGGCGGGAGAGTTGATGCATATGTGAAGTTTGATTTACTCAGCGGGTAAAAAAACACTCACGTTTCAGCATATGTGACGGGGGATTTGTGCCAGGTTAGATGTTGTGCTCAAGCCCGGCCCATTTGTCTTGCTCTGATTTTATTTCAGTATGTTTAAGGGTAGTGGACAGTGTATTTGAAGACCCTATTGAAAATGGTGCAGACAACATTAAAGTTCAAAGAAACATGTTACTCAAATATTGGCAGTAACTGTTATTTCAGCGCTAGGAGTCTGTGTAGGGGGTAGGGACGTCGATACTACTCACATCAGTTGACACAAGTGGCTACTGCCCCGCCTCTCCAGACAGCGGGCGTCATTGTCGTATTCACTAGATGATCTTTCGGGACTTCCTTATCAGGGATCCCATGAGGATGATGGGAGCTCTGTAGATTGGGTTTCGTAGCCTGTTTTTGGTGTGTGCCACATAGTATGTAGGGGAATTTAAGAAGACACCACCAGAGAAAATGCATTCAATTTTCATTATGACTGATCGTGGGTGAGTGCCCATTCGCAGATACCTCCTGGTAACTGCAGGACTTTTGAAATTTCTCCATGTCTCGTGTCTGCGAATTATACATGCCGAAAATTCCGATTTTAATTTTAATTGCGCATAATGAGTATGGGATCTCTGTAACCACTATAAGGTGAAATCAGCCTACTGTTCTAGTAACCTGTTGGTTAACTAATGCTTTTTGTCTTCCGTTGTGTAATCTAACGATTCGAAGAACACACATGTTCCTTTTCCCCTCCCACCTGAAACGTGCGCACACTTTCGCTATATGACAAATACATTTCCCCGTTCCTATATAACTGTACTGGCCCGACGAGAATTTATCGAAAGCTACGTATGCTCGCCACCTCGTCTTCTGATTACTGCTATGGGAATTTTCGCAACTCCAAAATACATTTCCGTTCCTAGGTCGCGTGGAGGCCTGATGCGATTCTTAGCCCTGATGCCTCCAGGCAAGCGGAAGGAGAAGCTCAATCCAGAAGGTAATGCTTCGCTCATCACCTGTCTCTTGCATCTTTTATGACGTTTATTTTCTGCAATCTGCTCGTAGGCCTGGGTTCCAACACGGTTGCCGACTAGCGCTAACAGGTATCTCTTGGACCGTCAGCGACTTCCTTTGGACTACATTGCCATAGCGTTACCCCCGATTAAATGTGGACTTTGTATACCTTTCTACATAAGTTGGCGCAGTAGCTGGGTGTCCGTACCTTATAACAATGCGCACAACCGCCTGGAAGACGGCAGCGGTAACACGGATTAAAGTTAGGGCAGGGCGTCGCCCCGAAAGTGGGTCGTAATACTGGTTGTGTGATACGGACTCGGTCATATAATGTCCGATTGATGCAGCTGTTGCTGTACTGACAGGGCTGTCGTTTGCTAGACGACGACTGCTTCGGACCGACGTCGGCTTTAGAAACAGGAGGCAGGCTAGCCAGCACTTTCCACATTAACATGCCCCCCTCCCTCTGTGGGCGACGTCAGGTCATGAAGGTGGGAGACGGTTTGTATGTAGGTGGTGGTGGTGGTGGTGGTGGCTGCCGCTACCGCTGAGCGCCCTTGGGGACTGAGGGTGACTGGCAGGCAGCATCGGCCACCCAACCACAGCCACTGCTGTTGAACTGGTGGCACGAAGTGTAGTGCAGAACATAACGAGAGTACTGGACGGCGGAAATGGTGGGTAATTGACTTTCGATGGAATTGTGCCCTCAGTGACTTGATGCTGTAACTGGACGTTAGGGCTGTCATTAGGGCCGTTAGTTTGAGGAGTACAATACAACTAATGAGGAGGAAATTAGTATTGCCGCTATTAGAGAACACCAACAAAGCTCGGTCCAAGCGAACGTAGGCTAGAAAACGAGTGATGAGATCACTGTCGGCTGACATTGGGAACACTCGAAATCGCCAATCCAGCTTATTAGTAGTAGGAGGAGATACGGGCCTTGTATTTTGCCTAGAAACTTCGATATAGAGCCCCTCTTAGTCGGTCGTGTGCCGACCAATCTAAAATCTCTGAATCCCGGAGTTTGGACATCATTGGCTGACGACGGCAAATAGGTGCGAAACGACCATCCTAGTATTTGCGATAGTCCACGATTACTGATTATCCCGCTTTCATCTGCGACAACCCCAGCTCTGAGTTTCTAGGGCAAAGTTGGGCGTCCGTGCTCCGTCTCCCAGTGAGACCTAAGCAATTCATGCTACTCCCACATGACGTCCTTATTCGTTCTCTGACCTTTCTCTCGAAAAGTTTAGAATTAGAAACTGCTCTGTGACGACTGATCACCTGCCATAGACCACAAGGTTTGAATTTATCGCGATTTTGGAGTACCGGCTTGAAGGTTTGTTTTCCAGCCGTAGAACCAACTCATTGGGTATGCTGACACAAACCGTGCACAAAAAGTCCACCATATTATTTTTTTTCCGGGGAACCTTTGTCTTGCAGTTATATGATTATAACGGACAAGTCGAATTCGTCCTATTTTGGTTTGAAGATTTTTGACACTGCTCCAACTCGCCCTTTTATCATTTCACAATCTTGTCCGTTTTCTTCCATCTCCTGGCAATGAATAATCGAGTTCGTTCAATATACACGCAATGGGCATGCTTGGTTTTTTTGCCGATGGTAAAAATCGCTACAACCTGAGAGATTTGCCAGGAGACCCATTGTCTCTGTCATACTGTTAACCACTGCAGTCACCCCCGCTCTCGAAAAGGTAGCCGTTCGACCCACTCTGATCCTTCCTCAGCCGTGCTCCCCTTCGGTGGCCCCAAGCGTTTAACGAGTCTCTAACTTCTTTATGCCAGCTAAAGTGAGCCGCAGCAACAATGTGCTTGCTTCGTCGACAACTCCCACATCGAGCGTGCGGTTGACTAGTGGTGACGCTGGTGCTTGTGGATTTGTCGATTGTTTTGCTGTGACCGGTGTCTCCTGGCAACGATGTTTCATCGGATTCGCATTTAGTAGTTAGTCTGTTACAGGGAACCTCATGGCTCATGCACTGGCAGAGCCACTCCATCACGGATTCTTCTTCTTCAACTGTTTGCTTCGCCAGTTCCAATTAGTTATGCTTTCCACCTGGTGTGCTTTTGCTTGCGTGTTTTCCATGTCAGTAAATTCCTCTGCATTCCTTTTGCTCTAGATGTTATCTACCCAATCTTCGTTGCTAACTTCGTCGGCATAGCCTTCAGCCGCTCCTTGCATTACCAGTTCTACGTCTGGTACTACCACACCATCCCCTACCTTCTCTGGTCCGTACCCGCCTTCTCCAACCCGGTGCGGTAAGTTTGATTCTTACCTCCCGAAGACGTTAATTCAACTGACATGTTAGCCCTAAAATCGCCCTCTAGAAATACCCTCTCGATGAGTACTGAACTCGGCATCGTGAGGTCCTTTTCCAGCCGAGGTACAGTGGATGGCGTAACTCGTGGGATATTAACTCGAATTTTGAAAATTTGATCTGACCTAGGAAGATTTACTGAAGTTACCAGGCAGCATAATCCAAAGATAGCTAAGTCACCTTCAGGATGTCGGCTTTTAACTCAGTGTCTTTCCGGTTGCCTGCAGCAATCGCGCACTAAAAATGGCTGCTCGAGTTGCGCGCATTCTTATTGCCTTTTTAGAGCCAATTATATTTTATGGAGAGCATGCAAAAAATGTCCCTATACTCATTTTATAGCAAAGGACGTATTTTGCAAATTTTGCTCGAAAAATTGTGGCTTTCGGATTAAAAGGTCGTTTTGTTCTCCAATACTTTTCAGCCTGACCTGTCATACCTGCGTCTAGGGTTTCCAAATTACGAGCCTACACTTTCTGCTTTAGGAAAGGCACAAATTCCTCTCTTATGTTAGGAGGATACTGTATGCGGCTTATAGCATTTTACAATGCATGTGAACCACGTTGCGTACTTCATGAGGAGCAATGATAAACGGACAGATACAATGCCCCATTTGAATGGACATCTCAAGGTCCTGAATGATTTCGTAACTACAAACTTTTTTCGCTCAGGCCTTTTCTCTGCGAATGAGGGGGCGTGAACACCTAACAGGACTAATTGACTTTAATTTGGAAAATGAATACCGACTTCTCGATAAACACTACAGTATGTTATTATTGACAAAGACAAGGGAGACTGGAATGGCCATTTCTGGCTTATTAGCCGTCGTCAGCCAGTCATATCCAACCCCGAAGTGTGGAACACCCGAGGCTCGAACTTCTTTTTTTTAAAGGACTGTTGGTGCAGAGCTACGCTGAAAACGCACATGCAGCGGAGCTTGACACGAGGACAGGGTCATGCCAATACACAATTCTGACGGACGTGCCTTCGGGCTCATTTTTCTTTCCGTCCCTTAGTCTTTCCGTTAAAGTCAGAAATCAGCTGAGAATGTGGTTATTTTAGTGGAAATCCGTGATTGGGCTCGCGTTTCTAATAGTCCTTTTGTGGAGGACTTTTCTGCCCTGTGGTCGAAAGTCAAGATATATTTTGAACGTAGAAGGCTCCGTGTTTGAATAGCCACCTGTGGATGTGTCGCGCGCATTTTTTATCACATGTAGCCGCTAAATTATTGGCTATTTTGCTACCCTGGATACACGATTAACCGGTCAAAACTCGTAGTAACTAGGACTAATGATTTTCTCACAAACGTCGAAGCCATTTCACTTCTCATCTTTTCCTACCGAATGCTGCCTGGTTGACAACCCCCCTGCAGCAAGCCGTGTTCCTATGCGGCGTCTTTTCGATTCGACAGTTCAAACGTCGCTACCGATGATGTCCACCGTATGCCTCATTAGCAGGGTGAGAGCAGGGACGATGACTTGCGCGTGAGTTTGTTTACAGTGATTGTAGACTTGAGCTGCACCTACCGCATTCTCTCCTCCCCTGCCACCTCCATCCGGTGTCAAGGAGACCGGCAGACAATTGGCACAGCTTAAACCCGCACTAAAGTGTGCCACCACGACACCCCTGGTCCATTGAACAGGAGTTTACACAAATAAAACAAGGAGCCGACACGAATCCCAATTGGCGCGGCATGAACCCGCAATCGGGCCCGTCACTGCACCCCCGAAGTGTTGGCATATATTATACAATAGGTGGGCTAACTCATGAAATGTCAACCGAAATTCCCCTATGCGTTTTCATTTCGAAAAGATTAATTAAGTAGGGTTGCAAAACGAATCATTATGCAGCGTAACTTTATAATAACTTGGTTGCCTCAGGATGTCGGCTTTTAAAAGAACTACTTTTCACTCACATGCAAAACTATACTCTGTAGCAAATGACTACTTAAGTAGCATGCATTTTTCCCATCCATTTTAGATGCCCTTAAAAAATCAGTCATATTTTATGGGGAACGTGCATGAAAGAATTCATTCTTGTACTCATTCCGTAGAAAATGACGTCTTCCAATCATTGTAGAGAAATGTATGGTTTTCTGCACTCGGAGAATACACGGCTTGTAGTTTGAAAACCCTGAATGCAGGTGTAACGGCAGGTCGGAGTTAAAGATTATTCGGGAATTTGAAAAGTTTGTAAAAACCTAAAGATATCCTTATTTCGAGTATAAAATTAAAAGAAGACGAAAGTATCTACCGAATGAGTAGGAGAATGATTATTTTTATGCATGTTTTCCAGAAAATATAATTGAATTTTTAAGGGCGTTTTTTTACAGAGTATAGTTTTTGCATGCAGCCGGAAAGAAGTTCATTCGAAAGCTGGCATCCTGAGGTAACTGAATTATTATGGAAGTACGTTGCACAATTATTAGTTTTTCAACCCTACTTAATTAATCTGTTCGAAACCAAAACGCATTTCGGAATTTCGGTCGACATTTCATGAGTTAGCCCGCCTACTGTAGGTGCGCATTCCCGATAACGCCTGCCGGACCCCGTCTAGCCTCCGTGTTGGTCCAGCGCATCTACCGTGTGGCCCGCTTCAAGGGCACACTTCGGTTCACGCTCTACACAACGAACTTTGTTGAAAATCTGCATTTCATGCGGCAATTTTTCAAGACACGCTCACTACCTTTCTTTTGTTTTTGACAATGGAATGGTTCCAAATATCCTGGGCAGAAGAGGGGTTTTGTACGCTCTGAAACAGATTTCCAGTTCAAAATTGTCCAGTCCGCCGCCCCACTCCCACCCCTCTTCTACAATAGAGCTCCGTTTGGAGACGCGGTTATGACTCACCTCGTGCACGTAATCATCTCCGCCTATCACTCTGATGGATTTTATGCAATTGAAACCCCCCCTCATGTTACTGTCCCCTTTAGCCTTCTTCTGTTCGGACTGATCGAGGTGTCCTGGAACGTCTACCCCTCCACCGCATGGAGCAGTGCAAATCTGCATGCCTGCCACCTCATCCTTCTGGTGGGACTGGCGATGAGCGCGCTCCCCGCCTGCAACACGCCATCGACGAAAAAGAGCACAGGATCGAGTACCAGCGCGCCAAAGAAACTTAAGAAAAGCTGATGGCTGCCTACTT